CAAATCAGAGCACTTGCTCACTCGTGAAGAATCTACAGGAATTTCTATTTGTATAATTTCTATTTCCATAATTTCTATTTCCCTACAGATTCTTCTTTGCTGCCCTTAACCCTAATTCACATTTGTCTGGCTCCTCTGTGCCCAGGAGCTCTGCAGCTGGTATTCCTGCTCTCCATAACTCTCACTGGGCCCCTCAAAGGGCACTGTCCTGTTTCCCAACACTGCATCACTCCTGCCTGCTCTGTGGGCAGTGGCCCTGGAGCTCTCTCGGCAGAAGCCTGAGGGTTGGTCTGGAAACACTTTTTACATGATATTTTCAATTGTCATTTGATATGCATTTAATGTACTCTCCTACGAATCCTTCAGACTATCTTGGAGGCCTTGGATGGGTGAAATAAAAGCACATATGGACCTTTATCCTTTTACAAACATTTGAAGCAAAGGCTGGTGGGAAATGTTGCTAGCCACTTCCCACCAGGTCAGTCTTTGTTGCTGAAATAACCAAACCTACTATTCATTACCTATATCAAATATCCATGCCCCAAAATCAGGAAAAGATAATTGCTGTCACTTTTACCAAAGCCTTCATGTGTGTTAGTGCTGCGCTGACTGAAGGTTGCTCTGAAAAGCAAACTTTTCTGATTTGCAGCTAAGGTTTTTGAAGAGGCCTAAGGCATTTGGCTCACACAAGTACAGAACTTGCTGCTCAGTGAAAAGCAGCGGAGTTGGCCAAGTTTTCCTGTGGCCAACTCCTGAAGGTTTGGAATCTGGGAAGACAATGAGGAGGGTGTGACAGCCTGCGGCAAGCTGGCAGTTCTCTAGTAGCTGTGATGAAAGAGAACTAAAGAAATCAACAGAAAGTCGCTCCTCATTGCCTGACCACAAGAAAAATACGGATCTTGCTTGCTTTCTTTTTATCTGGGAAGTCAAAGCTGAGATCTCACGGTATCAGCCGTTCTCAGCCTTGATGTGCAGAAGGTGCCCAGTTCATTCACAGGTTTTTTTGCAGCACAATTGTGTCAAACTTTTGCAAAGTTTCCCCATCTTCTTTACCCTTCATCTCTCCCTTTGGTCAGGTTTAGAATATCCCAGTTCTCATTCGCTGCCTTCACTACTCTGTTCATGACCATCATAGCTAAGAGTGATGGAGACTTCATTAGTATTGCAATCAGTGCTGTAGGAGATGAGATGGACAGGAGGTGAACACAAATTAGTTGGTCCTTTTGAAGGTGCTGCAGGATCATTGTTAATATGCTGTTAAACAGCTGTACATGCATTGTGCACTGGAGCCAATACCTAGGAAAGTCAATTTGTAACACATGAGTGCATATTCCTGTATATCCAGGCTTAGCAGTAACGAATACTTTCTTGTATAACACTTGCTATCATGAAGGAATTGTTAAAATTCTCTGCTTGCCGAGAGCACCAAAAAATGAAGACATAATTTCAATTCTAAAAAAAACCCTTGAATATCAGAAAATGAAAATACAAATATTACTGCTCAATGTCCAAATGTCATCAAAGAAAGACTGGACAAATCTGAAAATAAACTGTCATTTTAGCTATTTCTATTAGCCTCAAGGTTTAACATTACCATATAAACAGGTTTGCATAATGCTTAGACTGACTTTGGACATAATTCATTAAATCATGTATGCAGATGTTCTGCATTTCACCACATTCCCTTTCCGTGTGATGCTGATTGATCACAGAAGTGTTACATGGTTATATAGTGCAGAATGGACAGGGAATTCAAATGAGCAAAGCATTACACACAGAGGATAAATGTGTGCATATGGAACTACAACCCTCTCCCACAGAAAGGGATTTTGAGCAAAAGTGATCAGCTGGAGCCCTGTTCAGCAGGGACCAGCCAGGGTGATTGGAAATAACACTTGCACATTCAAATGAAGATGCCTAACTTGCTTGTTTTGTACAAACTGTGGGTCCCTGCTCTGAATTCTCCTTTTCACCAAATGTAAGATCTGTGAAGTTATTCTCTTCTAACAATATATAATATTCATCACAGGCTCCAAGTGCCTGCCATTTCAGAACCAGAAAAGCCACTAAGCATGACATCAGTCTTAGCAGCACTAGCTACCATAGCATCAGCTTGGAGCAATCTCTGATCCCTGATGCAAAGAATCTTGCTTTTCATGGTTCTTCTTCACAACTACAGTAACTCAGACACAGTGTCCTGTATATAACTTATGCATCTGTGTCTGTATATTAATAGCTATAGTAGAGGTTGTTGTTTAGGTCCAGAACTTGACACTGCCCCCAGAAGATGTTCTGAAACCGGCAGCTCAGCCTTTGATGGCCTCACACACAGACAGTATTCACTCATAACATACCATCACGTCTTTTGTTTATGTGGGACTCGATTCTGAAGTCCTTACTCAGCACCAGCACTCCATAGAAGCTGTGCTTGAGAAAGGACTGCAGGATCAGTTCAGTTTTAAATCACACATTTAACAGCACTGGGATTGCCAGCTTGCTACACAACTTCTCTATTGAGATGCTTTTTGTCTTTCAGAAAATAGACTAATATAAATCTTGTCGTGAGATATTTAAAACCTACCCTAGAACAGCAACAGATATATCAGCAACCATTTGTTTTCTTTCCCTTTTTTGTACTAAACCAAAATAATTTGCACCTTTCAATTTTAAATGACAAAAGTGGCAGATTTTCTTCTAGCTGTAAAAGACGGGATTGTTGCCACCGTCTGCTTGGTCTAGTGAATAATGAAAGCTTACCAATAAAGCACTTACTTAAAAACATTGCTGCTTAAGAATAAAAAAAGTATCACATTTAAACCCCAAGTTATCTGCATGCCTGTGTGTGGGCACATCCTTGTACATATGCTCATGTGCAAGACTGGAGATTTTGCAACTACCCCAGCAGTTTTATTGAGAACGATTACCGACTGGGATCATTAATGAGTTTTATTGTGTGCCCTAAATACCATGTTCTTCATTTAATCTGCAGGGCTTGATCCGTGCAGTTGCCATTGCATCAGTGTGACTAAAGCCCTAGATTTCACAGTGAGGATTGGAAGTCCCCAGAAAATTCGAACTTCATGAAGGAATGTTAGCTTAAAAACAAGCACTGTTAAAAAACCCTACTGAGTAAGTAATACCGCTGTGTTTCTATTCTATAAACCTGTTGGCAACCCTGGTTTTACACATGCTTGCCTCTAGAGCTTGTTGAAAAGCTGGAACATTATCTTGACTGAAATATTTCAACCAGCTCTCGCTGCTACAGGCTTTCCTAAAACTATAGCTCTCGTGCCTGTCAAAATCAAGACAAATAAAGGAAGGGAGGTGTGAGGGGAGGAAGGCCTTTTCTTAATAAAGGCAGCTTCAGTTAGTAAGATAACATAATCTTCAAGCTGCAAAAGCAGCACCTACTAATTAGTCATTGACTAAAACATAAATAATAAATACCTAAATTGTTCCTTCTATGCATCCATTTTTGTGCCAGATAAACATTTCAATGCTCTGCCTTAATGCCAGCACAGCTGACACTGCAATTTCAAGTCCAAAGCAAACTGCAAGTAGCTTTAAACCAATACGACGGAGAGAGATACTACAAGCCACTGGGGTCTGTGTGTTATGGTCATCTTGCAACTGTTGTTTAAAAGGGAATTCAACCTTTCTGTGAGATGCGATTATGGAATGATTTAAGGGTCTATTTCCCTCCTGATGTGGATGCTTAACTCTCATCAGCAGAAAGTCAGCCATACACACAGAAGGGTAAACAGATACCTTAATTACATCAACAGGATTTTTTTCTTAAAACCCAAGAGCTTTTAATAGCCTTTTTGGGTTATGTTGTTCACAAGAGATTACCACAGCAACAACAACAAAGTGCATGTTTTATGCTAATGTAAAATGCATTAGTTGGAGATGAACCTACATTTTAAAAAGCTATTAGAATATAAATGATTTTTTTCCTACTGTAGAAAATGCTGCTTAAAATGATGCAAAACATGCCTGCTTAAAACAGGATGCAGCCTGCTAGGAATTCTGAAGACAAGCAAGGGTACTTTGTTGACAGCATAAAGTCAATGCACTCAGAAACATGGTGTTGCTCTCCTTCCCTTTCAGCTCATGGCTTCAGTCAGGAGCCCACATCCTGCACAGCTTTCCAGATGTTCTGCACAAGCCTCGAAGAACCCTTTGTCATGAAGAGCCTTCCAGATCTGAGATCATGGGAGGGAATTAGTGTTAAGACTTACTTAGGCAATACTCAACCAGGGGAAGGAACATGTGGTAGATTTAGGTTCTAGTTCTACCTTTTTACTGGTTCTGTGCAACTCCACTGCCTGAAAGAACACTCAGCTCACAGGCAGAATCAGCAAAGGGTGTGAGCAGACACAACACAGCCAACCCCAACCTACACAGACACACTGCAAGTCTGCAGAAATGCTCAGGTACTGGTGGCCTTAGAAAAAACCTTGCAGATCTGAAAGGGCTGAAATCCAACATGCTTCTTAATTCTTTAATACTCAGTACGCAGAACCTGAACCTGACTGCACGAGACACAGAAGACTAATACAGCAATACACTGGGTCCATTTAGAGTTTATCATGAAATTAATCTCAAAAATCTCTGTAATCTGACAGTTTCTGCTTTTGCTCATTTTCTCTAACTAGGATAACAGACAGTAGCTGAGCCCAGAATTACTTTGCATTATTGAAGAAAAAAGAGTGAAGGTGTACCATAATTAATCCAGGCTCTGTGAGGTAATGCGGCCATACAGGCTCTAGCCTGCAGTAACCAACCTCCCCAGTGTAAGTAGAAGGATTTTGCTGTGATTTATTCATGGTAGCAAAATAAGGAAAGCCTGTGAAACAGCAGAGGTACAGAAAAATTTATTCTTAAAAAACACTGTTAGCAGCTGCTCCTTCACTGCCCTCTCCATGCCTTGGTGCTAGTTTGGAAACCCGCAGAGGCAGTGGATGCAGCCAGGGCCCCATGGGAGAGGAGGACTGCTCCCACTGCTGATAGAGAAGGCAGTGGCAAAGGCCTTGTCAGAACTCTTTTTTTTTTCCTTTTTAAAATGAATTATATTGCAGTAAGTAACAAAAATGTAAAATGTTCCCTTAGATTGCTGAAATGTGGTGCGAGATTCACATGAGAGCAAGGTTAAATTCCCTTTTAAAATCCTATGCCGGAGGACTGCGTACCAGATGCTACCTCAAGCGACCGTCAGGTTTGACGGGGCCCAGCTCAGATTTGGGGTCCGGGCTCAGGGAGCTCCAAGCTGTCTGAGCACAGCCCTGCATGACTGGGCACGCAGTGGGGCCAGTGCTGCAGATGTCCACGGCTGACCAGATGCTGCCCACCAGAGAGTCCACCCAGGCTTCCAGCCGAGCGCCCACTAGCCCCGCATTCCTCTTGGCCTGGTCCACGTGGGCAGCATTGATGGGGATATTCAGGACGGGGTTCAAGCCCTGGAAGCTCTGCTCCATGTATGCGTTCTTTGGAGGCCCGCTGTGATACTTCATGGCTTCCTCTGGAAAAGCAGAAATAAACCCAAAAGTCAGCGCATTAAAAAACAAACCTCCAAACCTTCAGGATCTAATGGTACAGCAAACAAAAAGGCAACAGTTTGTGGCGTGCTACAGTCTCTTTCCCCAGCATGAAGGACACCCTGCATCCTGAGGATGACTGGGTATGCTCAGCTCTTCAGCTTGTGCTCACCGCTATGAGCTCTACTCATGTGATGTTAACCCTGCAATGCTGTGTTAGCAGAGGCTGAAAGCAGCATTGTCCTTATTACCATCGCATACAACCAGCTTGCCCAGAGCTGTTCTGCACAGCACAAGACAGCAGGCCCACCTCAAGGGCATCTCAGCTATAAGCCCCTGTCTGTATCTCAAGGATGATCAATGTACATCTCTTTGCGACAAACACATTTTGCATTCAGGAGAAACTAATTTTGCCTCTTTCACCACAAAACAAGCCTGGGAGATAAAGTCTGTGCAGCTGAAGTCACCCCTGTGGACACCCAGGGAAGGCTGTGCTTTGAAATTAGGGAACAGTTCTAGGATGCTCAGTGTGAGAAGGCTGCAGACCCTTATCAGACCTGCAAGTGCTGTCATCAGTTTTTCTTGGAACCAAGATCTCAGCCTAGTTTTGATTCTAAACCAATGAACTTTGCCCTGCTGTGGAAAGTCACAACATTCGTTAGCTCAGCTGGCCCCCAAAAACCAGGTGGTGCCATTCCTGGCACAGGAAGGACACCACCGTGACTTTGGACAGACTTGACCCATAATGAAGTATTTGTAGCCCCAGCATCATTCCTCAAAGTGCTCCAGTCTTGCAGAGAATGTATTCTGTCATGACAATTCTATTTCAAGCTCTTGTGCCAAATAATGGATCACAACCATTTCCTAATGTCGCTTTCCTTTGCATTGTGGTTGCTTTCCTTACAGTAACTCTTCTAGCTCAGCAAAATGCAGTACACTGCCCCATTAATGTAATACTGCAGTAAAAATCATTGCCAGGCTGTGATAACGCCTTCAAACAACTCAAATTGGACACGGTGGGTCCGACTGCTCTCCTCTAAGGCTGGCTGCCTTCTTCAGGTCTGTGAGTGCGCCAAGGGGCTGCTCACAAAATCAGTGTGGGACTGGGTGCCTCTTGGGGGTAAATGTTCAACCATTCATTTCTGTTTTCAGCTGACTTCCCCAGCATCCTTGCTCTGGCAGCACAGAGGACAAGTTCATCTCTGCCAACATACACACTGTCTAGAACACAAAATGGGCCCATTCAGGGCGCTCCAGGCTAGGAAAGTCACTGCGCACAGATAGCATTTAGGGGCCAGGAATTACATATTCACGGCTACAATTCCTTCCACATGTCCTTGCTGCTCGCGTTGCAGCCTGACACTGAGCCCTTTCTTCCATGCAGAGGTCAGCATCTCAAGCACTGGCAATAAATCAGTACATTTATTTAGAGAGAAAGGGGACATCTAATTGAAGTTTTGCTGTTAAATTTGCGAAGTCTTTAATGTCAAATACTGTGCAAGTCCATTACTTCAAAACCCCAATTCAATTAGTTCAGCATATTCCCATCACCATTATGCATCATTTACCTAACTGTTCTACATTCCTCTGATCCCCTCTTTTTATTCTAAATGGTAAATACCCACAATAACCTCTAGTCAAACTGAGTTTATTCCATGCACATGTGTCAGAAGTGTGCTCTGCCAGAGCACTGCAGTTTAAGAAACAGAACAAGTACACATGATTAAATTTCCTCCTTTGGAAGCAATTAAATATGGAAGATTGTTTGTCAACATATTAATTAAATAGGAACATTCTAAGTAAAAATCCCCAAACAAATAAGAGTTGGCATTGCTAGCAGGATTATCTGATTGAAACAGGCAATTCAGAGAGCTTGTTGAATTACAGCCTGTTGTGCATGTGTTCAGTGCATAAAACGAGAGATCCTTTTCCAGACAAATGACAGGATGAAATGGAAGTTGCTCTTCTCTCTGGCTCAGCCTCACACATGTCCCATGCTTTAGGACTTGGTGGATTATCAGGATCGGAAGGAATGAAACCTACAGAAACTACCCAGTGCTTGGCAATGCAGCAGGAGATCATCATCTCTGAATCTGTGTTCCTTAAGATCAGTGGGCTGCTTTTGCTGAAGGTGATAACCTCAGCATCTTCATCACATTCAAATTCCTCCTCTCTGCTATTGCTGTAATTGTGCCAGACACCCTGTGCTTCTCCCACCAACACATCACTGCTACGTTCAGCCCCACTAGGTGACCGACGTGTTCTGCTCCAGACCTGGCTGTGCTGCAAAGGCCTGCAGCAGGTACAAGAGAGTGGAATGGCACTGAGAAACATTTTTGAAAAGCCACACACAAATATCAGCAGATAGGAAAAGACAAGAGTGCTGAGGACAGTACGAAGGGGAACAAAACACTGTGGCTTCCAGTGTGTTACAGGGTATCACTGCCCACATGCTTCTCTCATGTGATGAAACCCTGACAAGGTACTGTTGGGAGATTGGCCCACAACAGAAAGAACGCTCCAAGTTAGGTGTCTGTATGTCCTACAGAGAGCTGGGTAACAACAATATGAACGCAGAGCTACATGTACTATCAATTGGAAAAGCTGAGGATTCAACCCAGAATCCTCTCCTGGAGCCTCCAAATCTGTGTTAAAAAGTTGTCAGGAGAAAGCAATGAGGATGCAGTTTATCCAAGCTATGGCAGATGTGGGCTATTCCTCTTTGCATTAAAGTAAAAATGACAGAGATATAATCATGACTAACTTAATTACTGGGTTTTCCTAAAAAAAAAAAAAAAAAAAAAGAGAGAAGTTATTCTTGTCCCCCAGTTTTGTTTGCTTTTCACTTCATTTCTCAACTGACTTCTGCTATAACTTCTTTGGGCTATATACACAGCCTATAGTCAGCCACACATGCTGGGATATCAGCATTTCTGTGTGGGTTTGCTCTTCATCTTGCAGAAAAAAACAAATGAGTTTAGACAGAGAGTGGGCTAAGGAATGAAAAATGTGGTTACCTCGGTACACATGAAGGCACTAGACCTGTGGTTTCTTTAAAGCAGCACAGAATGTACAGCTCTATTTTCTTACTTGAATTGTGCTGAAACCCTCTGGCAAACAGGTAATTTTTTATTGACATTTTGTTTGTTTTCTCTTGCAGCAAACAAGACAGTGCTGCATTTGCTCATTGTGAAGCTAATCGACTCCTTGTCAACTGGATCTGAACTAAATTGTGAAGCAAATCCCCATCTTCAGGGTTTTTCTTGGAATGACGATTCCAGGGCATGTCTATACTGCTGCAGCCCTGCACTTGCCTGCTGTTACTGCTGCATTTATCAAGAACATGTCATGTTACCTCTGGTTAATTTAAAGAAATCACAGCAGTTCTGGCACATGTTGCCACCCACTTTATAATCTGTATAGATGCAATTAGAATTGATTGAGCCACTGCAAACAACCAACGGCAAAACAAAGTTTTCCCAGTATATACTTAATTAAAATGATCTATAAATATGGATTAGGTTAAAAGGCCTTTGAGATGTGTGCATGCATTGTGGTATATCTGCTGATGCCAACAAGCCTTTCAAAGAGGTGGCTGCAGTTAGAGGGCAGAGGGACCAGAAGCTGGTGGTTAAGGTCCCCAGCCTGCTGTGGAGCAGCAGAGATGAGAAGCCTCATGTCCAGGGCATGTGATCAAGCTAGGAACTGAACAGGAAAGGTCTCTCTTGAGGCAAAGAAGGAGGATGGTTTTCCTTACTGCCCTCCTTGTTTGAAGGAAGAAAGCTTTTACTCATTCATTTATTTACTTATTTTCATTCCTGGGTTTAGTATCAGCTTGAGGACTGGGGCTTTTTCTACCCCAGAAGTGAATCTGCCCACTGGTTTACAGTAATCTATTCAGCTTTAATGAAACAGGTACTATACATTAAATGCATGACAATGCATTATCATCACTCCAGCTGGGAGAGCACTGTGGAAACTTTGCCATGAATATAAACTCAAATTTAAAAATGAAATTGCTTTGGCTTTTTCTCTGCCCCTTTTAGTGCCCCGGGAGACGTGTGTGATCAGACTTGGCATGGCTGCTTCATGTGGACTTAGTAGAGCACAGAAGGGTGGGAAATGAGGATGACGTTCTCTTAGGAATTAAAATCTACCTGGTACCTTGGATTACAGTCTGTGAACTGCTGGCTAAATGCTCTGAATTATACCTGTTCTTTGGCTCTGCTTCTCCAGTCCCTACACAGGGGACCTAGACATCTGGCCTCAAGTCTCCAAACTGTGCTTAAATTCAGGCTGGCTAAAGCTGACAGCAAGAAACCTCCATTCCTGTCCATTATCACTGCTAGTGATCTAGTGATCTCAATGTTTTGTGTCCTCCACATTATGCTCTTCTCCATCTTGGCACACGTTAATCCTAGGGCATTCTGCTGGTCCTCCCATGTCCTTACAATAAGCACAGAAGACTTGGCTTTAACACACTCAGCCATATGGTGAGAAACTTAAAGTCACCACTTAGAAGAAGAATAAAAGAGAATCTGGCTGTGCAGGACGTAGGGGGAAAGAGACACTGGTGGAACAAGTGAACCTGGGTCTCCAAATGATTTATCTCACAAATTCATATAATTTTCCTTTTGTTTTTTTCTTTCTCCAACCATACAAACTTGAAGGCACTCTCAAGCCAGAGGATCTGCTGGAGGCAAACCGGATCAGTGACACAACTCAAACCAGAGAAAAGATGCAGATTTGGATGACTGGAGGGGGAAGAGGAGCAAGAAAGAATAAGTGACTTTAGATTACAGACTTTCCACTGAAATAGCTTTGGAAGCATTGTTTATAGTGGAAATACCCCAAACCTCCCAGCCTACTCAGTAATTCCATTAAGATCTGATCTCTTACAGATCCAGGTTTTGAAAAGGTCAATGAATCTGTGTTTCTAAAACAATTTACATTCTGTTAGTTATGCACATCTGGACACAGTATCAAAGAAAAAACCTGTTCTTGATTTCCCTTTACGGGGACTTGAGACCAAAATTAATACATAAATGGGAATAGAAAAATTAATAAACTGGCTGCATATTCTGGTTTTAACAAACTGATAAACAAAACATCTTTGCTGGTAATTCTGAATTGTAATAATGAATTTTGAGAGTCATGATATAGGAACAAACAAGTTTCGCTTTGAGTATTCAAAAGACAGGCACGTGGCTCCCTTCATGATGCAACTTCTCCTTGTTTTGCTGAAGCGATGTGTAGGTAAGTAATGATTTAGGAAATAGAGACTGTTGTCATGTCCATGCTCTCAAGATACAAGATTTTAGTGGCAGCTGCGCCACTGCCAGGTTTGTGTAAATGCTGTTTAGAATGACACAAACAAATTACAAGACTGTGGGCGCATTTTTATGTGTGTAGCTGCATGGGCTCCAGTTTCTACATTTGGAGTCCCTGAGACAGAGCAGGACGAATCATTATCAAACAAATGACATGCAAAGTGGTAAGAAACGTATCAGTCATTCAGAAAGCTTCTGGAGTAGCAAATTACTTTTCAGGGTAATATTTCTGACAAGTGCAATAGCTTTTTTTCCTCCTCTTTTTTTACTGGAGGGGGGCTGTGCAGTGAGGGAGGATGGCTGGAAGGACAATATTTTAAAGAAATCCCTGCTAAAACACATTCCCCCCTTCTGCTGACAACTCCTGGCCAAGTCTGATGCGTGGGTTTTTTGCATTGTTAAGACAAGGAAATAACACTATTCCTTCATTTTACAAGATTTTTGGCAGCTTTTGCATTGTTTACAACAGTAACAAACTGTTCTTTCAGAAGTTCTAATTCTCCTGTCATACTCTCACGATGCCTTTATTTGGCAGAGGAAAATATATTTAAATAATAAAGTGGTAACAAAATGACAAAAGCTGGAAATCAAAGCTAAAAGACAATTGCCTGCACAGAGCACAGTAGCGTCACTGAGACAGAAAGCCTTCAAAAACCCGAACAATAAGAATTTGCATTGTAAATACAATTCTAACTACAGTGGAGTGTCACTGTCTGCCCCTGTAATTAATTTTCTTCTTTACCTTCATGCCTCAGACATCTGGAGATTATACACCGCATCACCAGCAGCAAATCACTCCTGAGGCTTGTTCCTAGGTAGTATTGCTCCCAAGCTTTGTGTTTCATTCCTGCAGTAGAGTCTAGTTACCGTATGAATGAACAAGGCTCTTGAACAAAAAATATGAGCCATATCTTCTCCCAGTTTATCAATGGGCAATATGGAAATTCAGAGTTTGGAGCAGAGGGAGTTTTGCCTTACACCATAAAGTGTGGGCTCATGGTCAAGTCTGAGATACACCTAACTGCCATTGGGCTCTTGCATTATAGGGAAAGGCAGCAAGGCTGCTGGCTACATGCCACATTTTCCATCAGATCTATGCCTTAATTGTTAAATTACAAAAGAACATGGAATTCATTAATTTCCAGCCAGTAGCAGCTGTGTTTAGAAGTAGGTTGAAGTTTAAACTTTAAAAATGTATTCCTTCTACACATGGAGCTTCTTTACAATTTATCATTGCCTATTAGCTAATAACAGCAGCAGGTTGTTGATGGTTTAGTTTCTACTTAAGAAATGATGCCACCAAATGTCAGAAGAAGAAATCAGTACGTTAGCTCTTCTGCTGAGACGTGTAGAATCAAGCTCCTGTTGAGCAAGATAAGGGCTGCATTAGCTCTCAGCAGTTGTCTGGTGCTGTTTGCATTACAGAAGCAGCACGTTGTGCTGAAAGGTACGTGCCTGACTCAGTTTATTTGCCTCCTTGTCAGGAAGAAAAACTTGTGAAACCTTAATAGGGCAATTTATGGATTGAGCAAATTTAAGATGTCTAAATTTATGAATATTAATACTGGACAGATGGAAGCACTCTAAGAAGAATAGTAAAGATATTCATAGCAACAAACTTGTTTTGATCTTACTGAATAAGAAAACAGGTGCGGCTACAAAGCGTTCTCTCTTGTCCCATTGTCCTCAGCATTGGCTGAAGAGCCAAGCGCTTGGCAGTGCCTGTGCCACCGTGCACTGGTGCTGGGAGCCTGCAGACATAAGCAGCCTGGGAATGACCTGGATGGCTGACGGCTGCTGTGGCAGGGCAGGAAATGGTTGCTTTCTGAAAACTTGTCAGTGTGGGTCTGATACTTACCGGGATCATGGTATCCATAGGTATTTCTGTAACACAGCTGCTTGGCATGGGCTGAATGGGTTTTAGAAGGTATCGGGCCTGCACCTGATAATGTGTCAGGTGAGCTCTGGCCGAGCGTGATTTCTTCTAATTCAGCATTTTGTGTATTAATGCTTTTATCGTTAAACACACAGATTTGTCAAGACAACAGTTTCAACATCTGTAACTCTTTAGAGCAAATGTGAATAAAAAGCACATTTCACAAAATGTGAATGAAAGGTCCATTCTTCTTTCTGTTTCTAAATGATGGCTTTACAATAGCTGTTAGATTATTGAGAGTCTGAAGTTCTCTGGATTCGGAACTGTGCATATTTAAAAGATAAAAATAGCCTTTTGTTCGAAGTGGCTGTGTTTTACAGACTGGATACAGTCTGTGCCTTGTCTTAGTGCAACAATTTTTTCTGATTTAGTATCTATAAATTTCCTTTCTTTTCTCCTTTTCCAATACAGTGCTACTTCATTTTTAACAGCCACACTTACAGTGAATACAGACAGAAGAACTGTATTGCTCATGTATCAAATAAAGCTTACCTTGCTTGATAGGTTGCTGGTTAGAGAAGGTGAGAGGAGTAACAAGGAATTTGGTTTCAGCTACCTGTACCCAGTGGTGCAGAATTTTTATTGTCCAAACACCAGGTCGCAGGGGCAAATTCAAAGGAGGTTTGTAGTGAGTAAATTCAGCGCTGGATTCAATCAGAATATCATACGTTGCTGCAATTACATTAACGGGGTCCACCCAAATTACAGTAACGGTGACATTGGGGCCTTTTCCCCATTTCTGCATCCCAACTGGCTCATCTGTTGGGCCGAGGAGTCCTCCAAAATTCCGGAAAAGCCTCTCCTTGGCGTCCCATTCCGTGCCAATCTGAAATCAAAGACCACATTGCTGGTAAGCAATCTTAAATAATCTCTGTAAGCATCTAGATGCTTAGGTCAAATAAGGGCTCTCAAGACACACAAATATCTCTTTAATGACATGAGTTACACATGCATATAAAGGCTAATGGCAACATGACCTATGATCACAATGTGTACACAAATTGTGAGACAACCTTGATAGCAAGGCTTATTTTTGGGGGCCAAGTGTCCACGTTTAATTGATATAAAGGTTTCCTTAACTTAAGCATGATACAACATGCTATAGCAGCTCTCCTTTTCCTCCACATGGAAGCAGTCAAATAAATGACCGAGACTAGTGACAGAACGCAGGCTGTGCACACAAAAAAATATAACCCACCACCTACCAGGTTATGAAAATGATATATATTATACATTGAGAGATGGACCCTGCAATAGAGACCTACACAGTTACTGCTAAGACCAAGGAAAAGGCTTTTGTGGACTTCAGGACAAGTCACATCAGGTCCTTTACTATGATCTATCCATTGATGTGTCATTGCACTCCCTTCCTGCCTGATGTGGGAAGTTATTTCTGGTAAACTCTTTTTTTACTGTCATAATAGCGACATTGTTTTTTTTGTTTATTCACTAACTAACAGTAAAGCAGCTGATTCACAATCTAGTGTAAATATTTAATGGACCTTTCTTATTTCCTAGCAGTTTTCGTATTTCAATGCTCTTTATCTGAATTTTAATGGTTAACCCACAGGATGATACAAACCACAAGCTGTTGCCATTAACACTTGCGCACTACTGAAAATACACACCTCTGAACAGATAGCATAAAATGTAGTAACTGGCCTTCTTTGGCCAACTGAAAGACTCTTTACTATCCCAGCACTATATCTACCATGTCTTTATGAAGCTGACTGTTAATGAACCACTTCCATCAACTCTCAAGAAGGCAACCTGGTGGACTGCAGTACTGAAGGCTGCATACTTGCTCTTGGAGGAAACGCCCGCCTTGCCTGTCCCACAGGTTCCCGTTCCCATGATCTCAAATCAAAAGTGGCCAATATCAAACACAACAAGATTTGAGGAACCTCATCTGACGTGAAGAACGGGAGAACCCCTTGGATCGTTTTGGCAAGCAAACATTTGACATCATTCCTTGGAGAGACATACAGATGTTTTGGCCAGCCTGGTACTGAAACGCCTCATAGCCCTCCAGGTCTTCTCTGGCCTTAATCTCCAAACAAACAGTGTAGATGACTTAGCAGTCGATTTGTTCCCAATACAGAAACCACGGATTCTCTCAAGCAGTCTCCTGAGGCCCATGCACACACACAGACAGAATCCCCTCTTTCAGTATATGTGGATATTGAAGATTTCCCCAACACAGAGCTGTCCTTGTCCCTAATCTTCACCTTACACAGGCATGGTCAGAACCTGGTTTCCTAAGAGCATTAAAAATAATTATAGCTTATTTGCTTCAGAGATTTTTCTTCTAGATTTCATCTCATTTCATGAGAGTAAGTGGTTCCAATATAATGCCAAAATCCCCCCAGATCCCTAAACCAGAACAATTACCTGATGCCTATTACCCTGATAAATGTACTGGAAACCGTCCAGTCCCCAGTGCCTCCTAAATAAATCACTGTGGTTGGCAGACAAATTACAGGAGGACTGCAAGCAAGAGGCTACAAGGCCAGTGGAATAAAACCTGACCATCCTAAATCTCTCTGTCACCAGAAGAATTCTTTTTACTGGACTATGACACTGCAGAATATGATACAAAATAAGCCTTCCACTACTCTGCAATCAACACAGCAGAATCACTGGTATTTCAGAGGTATTTCACCTAGCACACCAGCTAATCAAACCAGACAGTGTAGCTCAGATATCAGACCCAAGCATCGAGTGCCTGGAGGAGCTGTCAGTGTGTACCCTCCTGACAAGACTGACTAAATAAGTATGGAAATAAGCTGAGAAAGAAAATTTCCTGACCAGATCTTATTACCTACTCCACCAGCCCTCACTGAGTGCAGCCATGTTACACCTACCAGAGCTCAAGGGACCTGGAAATAAAGCCACAACTGGTGAAACAAACATACACCCTCCTGAGCAAAGAAAAGCCTGTAAGGAAGCACGTTCCATCGCATCCAATATTTCTTACTTAAGAATTCATTGAAGAAAGCTTAATTCAACCTCAGAAATTAAACATTCATCCCTGGCATCTCACTGTTTCTCTCTCTTTAGTCTCTCATCCCTGGCAAAAGAAATCAGAAAGTTAAAATCCCCATGCTCCCACCTCCAGGTGACATTGCTCAATACCAGGCTGTACAAAAGATGTTGAGATGTGTTCACATGCGCAAAGGTTTATTAGAGTGCTCTGCAGAAAAGCAAAGGTTGTTTTGGGGGAAAGCTTGTACAGAACTGTTGGCTGATTGTTAAGCTTTGTGCAGGCATGTTATTCCCTAATGTAAACCAAAGTTACAGTCAAAGGGCGGGAGAAGAAGGGAAGGGACAATTCTCATGCTGATGGCAATCAATTCCCATGAGAGCCTGTCAGGGTGCGCAGCTCCACTGAAACAGCAGCACAAAACCAACAAGGAGAAAATACTGCCCCAGAGTAGGCCCTCAGCATTGCAAAGGCAAAGCACCCAACACTCTGCACCACCCTGCACAACCAGAGCACACCTCTGACCCAGACAAGGTCCTGACCCTGCCTGGGGTTGCGCACCAGAGGCAACTTCGGAAAGGCGCAGGCAGGGAGCTGCACACATCTATTTACAATATCTGCCTTTTTGGCCTAGTTTCCAGCTGGGACACACGTTCCCACAGCTTACAGGACGAGCTGGGTTTAGAAGCACAGTATTTTAAAGGGAATTTTACCTAAAACACCAGTTACTGGTTTATACTTCTGCCCTTGAACTCTACACTGCTGAGCTCCCTGTACTGAGGTGTCTGATTTTACAGGCCAAGAGATACTATGGTCCTACAGTTTTTCATAGCCCCCTAAAACACTGTAAGTAGGCTTTCACTTTCAAATGGAATACACAAAGCATAGGATGGACTCAAGCACTAAAGAATATCTGATAAATGATGAAGGGATGTGGCACAGAAACTGACATTTTCCACATCATTATTTTAATCACCATTATTTTGGGCTTTCAGAGCAGGCACTGTGCCCAGGATACGGTTGGAAAGCTGGAACTCTATCATTGACTTAAAACTTCTGTTTCTATCTCTGTTCAGTCCCAAGATAAAATTTTCCCAAGATAAATTATGCCTTGATTATGGGTTTGTGTCTCATTGCTCACCACAAACAGGACCATTAGGTTCACACAATGCACACTAATTGCCTGCCACCTAGTTTATTTTATTCTCTGTGATGAATCACAAGTCTTAACAAGACCAGAAATGAACTTAGCGTTCAGCTGATATACGGTGAGCTGAGACTTTTAGTACTGTACAGCAAATCAATCTTCTGCTCTCCACAGCCAAGTTGCATGAACCCAAGCTGGTAGGATACATACTGTGTGCATTGTGCAGGAGCCAGTTTTAGGAGGTGTGGGAGTTTCATGCTTGGAAATCATCTCCCCTGAATCCCCTGTAAGTTTGTTTTCTTTCACACACAGTGCAGGAGCTGTGTGCCAGTGACAGGCTATCATTGGCCCACTAGCTGTCAGGCAACCCAGCCGGCTGAGGTTTTTTTCCCACTTGTCATTACATGGTGTACGGTGAAACCTGCTACTCGGGAAGCAAAGTCTGAGAAGCAAAGCAAAAGGGCAGAGGGCAGGAAGGGCTGATTGGAGAGATCTTGTCATCTCCTCTACAGTGTTGTGCATCAGGGTCATAAATACACCCAGGAGCACGTTCAATGCAGCAATTTGTGCTCTTCTTGCTGGCCCTGTTGGTGTGAGCTGGGAGAGGGAAGGAAGCTCCCAGCTACAAGGGCCCCATTCAGCTTGAAATTCCTGCCAGATCATGGGGTGAAAGTCATTAAAGAACCAGCAGCTAAATGTCCCAGTAAGCATGAATCTTAGTTTTCTTTTCTGGTGCTGAACCTGTGAACATGGACACCCTCAACTTAGCTGAACTGCCAAGTTTCTTCTACAGTTGCTGGACTTTGACAAAGCAGTGGCATTTCAATAGGCAGCAGCAGATCAGAGGCTTTCCAAGCCACACTAAAGCTGAAGAGGTTAATGCTGGGTTTATACCAGGGTAACTGAGAAAATAACTTGGCACAGAGGCAGAGATGCCTGCAGGCCAGGGGAACACAGAGAGTAAAATAAACAATTAAGAAATGATTAAATGATTTACTTTGTACCTCCTGGTCTCTTAAAATATGAATAATCTATGAAAGGAGAGGGCAATTTAAGAATTTAGGTGAGAGAAAATTAAGAAAACAAGCACGTGACCACCAAAACTCTTCTTTGTGCTTCACATAGAAGAAAATGTTTCCTCAGCCTGAAAAAAGCTCACCAGTGATTAATTCCTTCCCATGGTTTGCACTCACACAGCTTCACTGCTGCAGCAGCTCCTGCAGGGCTGCTTACAGCCCAGCCATGGTCTGTGAGGCTGTGAAGAGCAGCTCATTAGTCCTGCGGGATCTAGGGATCCTCCCTGCAGGGTGACACACTCCACAGTGCTGTGGGCACAGTGCAGCCAGCAGGCACCGATATGGCACCACTCTCCTGCCAGGGGAGGCTGACACCAGGTACTGCTGCTCTGGGACATCTGTCCATGAGGCTCATGTTTACTGTAGGACTAGTTTTTGTTTGGGGGAAAGAGGTGCACTGGGGCAGGGGACAGTGTGTAAAATTCTGGTCCCTGGTTTGTTTCCTCCCAACAACTCAATGTTAATTCAGATATATTCTCTATGTATTTTTTGTTTGAGTTCCAGAATATTGGGATCAATATATTTCTTTTAATCATACAATTAGCAAAAACCCCTTCTTCCTGCTGCCAGGCTGACTGCTTTCAAAGGAAGGACCCAGAACAGGCATTGGAATGAAAGTGAGATTAGAAGTCCCAAATAAACAGCAGCAATACTCCTACAAATCACAAGAATTAAAGCTTGTATAACCATTTATCACTGCATGAAATGGCAAGCCTACCATCAGACACATTGATAAATGAAACACGCTTTCCATTCATCTCTTTAATGGCATATTAGTGTCATGGATTTGCCATGCACACCAAAACACTGAATCCTACCTAGGCATTTCTTAATTGCCCAAGAAGATGGTAATTTATGGACTTAGCCATAATGACTGGAACACATTTGTTCAATCAATTTTATACCTTAATTGAAATTTGTGGCTTAACAAGAAAAATCATGAAATTAACTGCTCAGACAGTTATATCCTTAAACCAGAACACGGATGTCGGGTTCCATTAGTGGTCAACTTCCCCGATACATTTGAGGGTACATTTTTTATACCCTATGTCAGATCCTGAGACAAATTCCCAGAGTAAATAACAGGATTTGTGGGAAATCTCAGCCACTGCTGTAAGAATGTTCTCTTTCGTGTTACAACATCAGTATTCAGCTCACACGTGGCAGTGGTGCCTGACTATCACTAATTTTATGAGGGTTTTTTTCAGTATACTCCAGAGGAACGCTTCCCACATCCCCATTCACATCTGGAACTGCAGAAACATGGCATTTTATCCCAGGTATCTCTCACAGCACTCACAACAATCACAGTCACAACATTTTTAAGTTACTGAGTGCTTTTTACAACATCAAATGCCTTCAGTTTGTTCTTGAAATAAGAGGGAGTAAGGAAACTCACTAACACGGTAACATAAAATGTGAATGTTGACTACAGATAAGAACTGGCAACATGATTTCCTTCAATGAAGAGGATGTACATTATGCTAGAGAGCCACTCTCACCTAAAAATGACATGGAAACACAGTTTCCAAAGGCTGCTGAAGTAATACGCAACCCCTCCTGAGGCTGCTGACATTGTGCATGCACAGATACAAATACTTACCTCTGAGAACTGCAACCTTCCAAAATCACTTGGTGGACTTGCAACCTTGAAGACTTTCTTGGGCATCACCCAGGTTTCCAAAGTCTCCAGTTTGCTGACAGCCAGGTTGGTTGCGTGGTGTCTGATTAGGAAGCCTTGGAAACGGTCAGCGAGGAAGTAAAGGTGGACGGAAACTGGATGGCCCATGGGGTAGTATCTGTAAAACAGCATATACACATGCTCATCAGTTACACAAGAGAGACATGAAATCTCCATTTACTTGGGGCTAATGGCTTAAGAAGCATTCATTTCAACTAGAAAATTCACCACTGTACATTAAGAGATCTCAAATGTGTTCATGACACATTATCAAATATGCTTAGGCTGTTCTGATTACCCTGAAACATACAAAAATGTTACTAAGAATACATGCTCATTCACAGCTCAAAGCTCATTAGGAGATACGTCTGTGTGCCAGAAAACGCCCCTTCCTTATTAGCTCTTCTGGGTAAAAAGTGCCACCCAGAGATACACTTTGTTGGGCGGCAGCACTGTTGGTTGGGATAAACGACGCTCAAGAAATGTGGCTATCGCTCCAAATCAGCTGCCCTTTTGTTTTCATCCCTTTTTGGGTGTTTTGCCTTCAGCAGGATTAGTCCCTCCGGTGGCCTGGCTATGGCAGGGCCCCTCGCTTGCTGCGGGACAGCAGCAGCCTGGGGACAGCAGAGGGTGCTGTGCGGCCGGGCACGGCTAGCTCATGTCCCACTCCATTCCCTGCACATACATCGGGTCCCCAGCAGATAACCCCTGCATAGATCTGATTCCCAACTGATTCTCCAAGGGCAGTGCTCTGTAAGGTGGCACTGCAGCAAAGACACCAGGTCCCCATTTTACGTCTCCTTTATTTTAGGAAATAAACTTCACATTCCTCAAGGACTTGAAGTTGCTTTTTCCTGTGGATTTTTCTCCTCATCATTAAAATAAACTGAAAAAAAGGTCAAACAAACAGGAAAAACCTCACATCGGGAGGTCTGGAAGCCTTCAGCTACAGTTCGGATTTAAAGACACTGTAGTTGTAGTTTCAAATAATTAACCTTTATGGTCAGTTGTCTGCTGCAGTCTCAGAAACATCTCAATAATGTTTGCCAATATATGGATGCATAAATAATTAAAAACATTATTCAGAGCTCCAAAATTAAATATTTTCCTATTTTACAGCACTGGCATTATCTGTGAAACAAGTGTGTTTACAACACATTTAAAACCAGCCACTATGACACTTCCCAGTCCAGTCAGCTAAGACTGACTCCTCACGCGAGTTACCACATCTCAAGACATGGGCACTAAGAGGAGCTCACCAAGAAGGACTTTCCACTACATGAAACAGGCAACGCCCAGAAGGACATCTCAAGCTTGGGAAATAAACACAAGACAGGGTACAAACAGGGGCAGCAGTGATGGACTGAGCAAACACGCAGCAAAGCTCTGCAGCCAGTACCAGCAACAATCCGACTTCTGTTCTGAGTACTGAGACCTCCTGTTTTATATCTGTGCAGCCGCAAATATTTACAACACCCTTGAAACAGGCTGAGTAAATTGTCTCTTGGCAGCAGTGAGTAAAAATGTCTAGAGATGGAAGAAACGGATTAAATCTCAATCACACATTAGGGTGGCTTCCACTGACGATGCTGATAAGCAAACTCATTTGGTACCAGAGCATTCTGCAGGGGGGCACTGCTTTCTGAGGCCTTGGTAGAAAAGTGTGCAAGGCAGCTTCTCTTCCAACAGCCTCCTGGGCGGCTGCGGGTGGCAGCATGGGACTGACACCAAATGTGATCTGAAGCCGTAGAGGCTTTCCTCGCAGTGCCTGCAGCAGTGTGAAATGAGCTGGGGTGGTGGCTGCACTATAAGCTAACTTCATGCTGCTTTTAGCCCTAACAGCAAAGGGAATACTGTCAAGGTGCTCAGCCCAAATATCTCTCTGCCATTACTGTGTTAGACATACGCAGGAGGATGAGAGGGAAAGAGGGAGTGTATATATGCACAGATCTAGAAAGACAACATAGTATGAAGAGAGATGTGAATCATAAACCTGAGGATTATCCACCTTTTGGTGATTTAAACTGGATGCTGACTCACAGTGTTTTGAGGGGGCTCAGGAAGGTATGAAAATGAACCCTCCATTCACTGTCACTGTTTGCAATTCCTCCCTGCACTGTTTCATGAGGCTCTAGTCTACTGTAAAGGAGCCATACTTTATCCTGGAGACAGCTGCAATCAGCAGTGGGTGACATGGCTTCCCTATCTATAATCTGGGCAAGCTTGAAAAGCACCTTGAGCTCCTGTGCAATGAAAACCTCCCCAGAAATGGAACTGATTATTGATATAAATCATCATCAGAACACTGGCAAAAGGAATAAGCACAAAAGTAATTGGCAAATTATTTCAGTCCTGGTTATACATAGCTCCCACCATCCTCTCTGCTGGCTTCGCTCAGCAGGACAAATGACCCAGGACTTCTTTAGGTTTGCCCTTATTTCATATAAGGAAGGCATGCTACTAGTGATTATTTCTATCTAATTGTTATTGATCTTTCATTGCTTTGCACTGGTAACCTTTACTGGCAAAGCTGTAATAGGAATCTGGATCACTTATTGCCACGTCTTTCTAAATGGGAATTGCTCAGCACTTCCATGACTAAGTAGGAAGGTCAAGGTGCATTCAGTTCCCTCTCGAGCACACAAGAGGGGCAAAGTCCATCCGTCAAACCGCAAGGAGTGTGTTCAGTATTTGCTGACTTAGACTGTGTGCGTCTTCGATTAGGATAAAAAAGGCAGGGTCCAAAAATACATTCTGAATCAGGTATTAATAGACTGTAAAGTAAGATGTCAAAAAGATGAACCCTCTCTGCTTTGAATGTAAACAGCTTCAGACATCTTTGCAGGCAGCAAACATCTACCATGAGGAGAGACTGTGAGTCTAACTCCAGGACCATTTCCTTCAAATCCCTTTTAGACTAAATCCTTCTTTGCTAGGCTTATATGTGAAAAAGGAATCTAGAATATAGGGGAGGTTCTCTTTAGAGAATAAGGACCTTTATTTGCTATATTTATCCATATGAACATTTTATTTACTTGATGCTAATGGATCCCACCAGTTGCAACGCTTTTGGCACAGACAGCTGTACCAAGCAGGCAAACTGAGCTCAAGCAAGTAGTTCTCTGCACTCCTTGTATACACCCAGGAGAACAAACAAGCAAGGACCATTAACCTGCCTGTGTTCAGAGTAATTCTGAAATCCTGTCCTCTGCTTTTGGTAAGCATAATAGAGGTGGACATGACCTCTGCTGCAATCACACAGAGGTTTTCAGGAGCTGCAGGTATAATACACTTGCTAAAATTAATCAAGAGAAGGCAGCAGTGGGGGTAGCACCGCCCAACTGGATCCTGTCAGTCTCCATCACGCTGGAGAGGAGCTCCTTGAAAGTGCAGCAAACAGGTCACATAATGTCAACCCTGAATAACCAATGCTCTTTTATAAGCATAAATACTCCTTATAAGCACCGTACATTGGCAGCTGGCTGGTCCTGTCTGTGACTACACACTCCAGCCAGCACCTGAACCTCCACCAGTGCTCAGTGGTCCCGGCTGTGTCCCCTGAAACACCCCAAAACAGAGAGGCTCAGACTCACCGGCAGCTGTTGTCTCCAGCAGCATGGAACGAGGTCTCGGCTCTGCGCAGGCCCAGGCGGGAGAACGCGTGGTACATGGTGAGGGCGACATCGCTGAGGGTGTGCACGCCGTCGGGCTCATCGTACACATTCTCCCAGTAGGACCGCAGGCCGGGCGTGCCGGGTGGGTAGTTGCCGTACAAGTAGTAGTCCAGCTGGCCGATTATCTCCTGGTTCACCACAGCTTCAAACTTGCGGGCAAAGAAAGTTGGCCTGGCAGTCTGCTGTGGTGACGTGGAAGGAAAAAACACTGGAGTGAGCTCCCGCTTTCAGACACAACACTTCGTCCTAAGAAACGGGTTGGAGTTGAGGACATGAACTGGTTCTCCCCATGGTCAAAGGTGACTTAAAAGGTCACCTTTATGACCATTTGTCCTTGAGAGTGTCGTTAAGATTCACATAAAAGCTACCTAATTACTCAGCAAAAATACAGGCAAGCCAATCCTTTTGTACCATCAGCCACCACCCGCTGCCTTGCTCTGGAAGGCTCTTTGTGTGCCAGGGAGGTGGGAACACTCTCTAAACTACCACGTTAGTCTGGAGACGGCGCAGCAATGGCATACTTCATTAGTGGTCAGACAGGGAGCAAAGTCCTGTGGCACTGGGGCTCAGAAGAGGCAGAGCAGCATTACATTTGTATGGATTTGCTGGTAAGAGGACTCAGGGAGAAGTGACATCTGTGGCAGAGGTTTCTCAGCTTCTGACTGGTCCTGTGTAGAATCGTCAACTGGTTAGAGTTGGAAGGGACCTTAAAGATCACCTAGTTCCAACCCCCTGCCATGGGCAGGCACACCAGTATCAATTTTTTGCTTTGCACTTGACACAGTCTTGGGTACAGTACTGGTTTGTTTGCTACTCAACTACCATTAGCTTTTAAAAAGCCTTTGCTTTGCCTTGCTCGTATTTGAGCATGGGTTCTGAGATCCCAGGAACTCAGAAGTGCCCCAGATGGTTGAAAAATTCTTCTAAGGATGCTGAAGTTTACTCTGAGATGGCGCAGGCTGCGGGCTCTCTGATCTCCTCCTCTGCAGCTTGCTTTGTGCCTGCGTGGGAACTGCGAGCGAGCCGTCTGGTGCCACACGTCTGTCTGAGGGGCTCTCTCATCAGGCGAGTGTCAGAAGTTGCCATCACATCTATTCTAATTTGGAACTTTCCCTTGCAGCTCAGTTTACCTGATTGTTTTGTGAAATGTCACCGTGGGTTGTTTTCCCAGCCTGGAGCAGGTCAGCCTCTGCACGCTGGCAGCAGTTTCTGAAGACGTGCCATTTATTCTGTGCTGGAGACTTTGCTGGGATTGGTGTTTGGGGCAGCAGAGCCTCTCTTAGATAATGTCTGATTTGCTCTTTTTGTGAGTGCCCGTGTCACTGACTTCAACCGTGCCTGGTAGGCAACACATTACAATAAAGAATAGATCTCTGTTTTGGAGCAGTCATCATTTTTGTGCTGTAGGGTAGCACATTCCCCAGCCCACACAAAGCCTGAACAAACATGCTTTATGCAGGGAACCTTGAGGAGCTGCAGGGATGGAATTGCAAATCTGGTGCCCTTGAAACAAGCAGTTGTTCATTCTTATTAGGAGACACACAGGCCAGATACAGTCTTGAGACCAAGTGCACCCTTGAGCACAAGGATTTGCTCTCATGTCTGCCTTGAGGAAGCTGTATCACAAAGGAACCAATTAAACTTTTTGAGGCAGTCTTGCCAAGCCTGGGTGATCGAAACCTCATGACTCTGGCCTCCAAAACCATGAGATAAACTTAAATATAATCACGTTGATGAATATGATAACAAAACCCAATTTGCCTTGTACTATGTAAGCCTCTAGCAGGCACTCCAGCCAACTGCTAAGCTTATTTCCAAAGATGAAAAACACTGCTTAACAACAAAAGCCAGGAGCTTCATGAAATCATGAAATCACCTGAGCCGCAACTTTGGAAAAAACCCTTTGCAGTACATTCACAAGAGTTACCAAGTAATATTGACACAGTGAGAGATGTGTCAAGCTTCCCTCCTTTCTAGCAGAGTAGATCTACCAATGCCAAGTTGTTCAAAGAGTTGTGACCCTGCCACACAGCAGTACATCTCAAGGGCCCAAACACAGGAGAACCAATCTTTTACTCTCCTGAAATTAAGAGCAGAGCTTCCTCACACCTCTTCCTCCACCTTGTTTGGTTGTGTAAAACTTCCCTTCCCACTCCTTACTGACAGCTCTCCACATCCCAGCAGAGAGGGAAGAACTTCTTTGCAGGTATCAGAGAAAAGCCTGGTTCAGTTACCTGGAATCGGTGGAAGTCTGCTGGTTTGAAGTCATTCGGTGAACACCCACACCAGTCAACGATGTGCTTGTACTGACACTTGCAACCGAGTTTACGGTTCCAGTTCGTGATGCGCAGGTTGTTGTCCACCATGGTGTCACAGTATGGGCTGTTTTCCAGGACGGTGTGAAAGAAGGACTGCAAGAAAGTCAGAGCAGATAAGTACATTCAGCTCCTCAGAATTCCATTTTTCTCTTTCACTTCACCCCATGGGCCTGAGCTTAAGGAAGGTGACTTTCTTTCAAAGTGACAAAATCAACAAGCTCTATCATTCTGCTACATATGAAAAGCTCTCTACGTGTATGCACTCCATATGGCATGAAAAAATCACAACATGCTACAGACCCTGCAAACTGTAATAGCAGACAGCTGAGGCCTTCCACAATAACGTGGCATAGAACAGTTGCATTTCTGCAATGACCAGCTTTGGGCATTGGGAGTCCAAAGGACTTCAGGAAAAGCACCAGAGCCAGCAATTATTTTGGTTTTATTTCAGCTGTATGAGCAATTCTAAGAAATTCCCATTATTTCTCCTCTGTAAGTTACACTCTGGTCTAGCAGATTTAGAAGTGTTTTTCTGAGCAATGTGTTAATGATGTATCTCAAGTTGATTCCTAAGACAATTCTCAAACCTCCCCCATCACCACAGTTACTATGAAAAAATAGTTTCAGACAGCTCTTCTGTGTTGTCTGTACCTCCAGCACTCTGAAATGCATTGCTATTTGAATGGCCTTGTTCTGAAATACACGGCTCACCCCAGGCACCAGAATGACACTCTGCCTCCTGCAATTACATCCAAAATCACGAGTCTTTATTTGCTGACTCAAGGCAGCAAGGAATTCCTATTGGGCTACCTAATTATATCATCATAATATCAGCCATTACATAAATCATGTGTAATGGGGACTGATATAGCAGGATAACAGGTCAGTGAAGGCAGGGTGATTTTAAGAAACCAGCTACGTATCTTGCAAAGAAAACTTTCTAGAAAGAAGCTGTGGAATATGATAAAATTTAGACCTGTGAGAGATGATTTCTGAAGCAGTGACTTCTCTTTAAAATCAGTAACAGTAAGACCTATAAATAACCAGCATAACATTAGCATGGCTGGCCACCAAATAATCCCCCTACCCTTTTTAATGTTAAATGACAGCCCAGTGAATATGGATTTTATGCTTGAACCGTTTGGTTAAACCCATAAAGGCATCCATTCTCATTCAAGCGAGAGAAAAAAAAAATCCCTACCCAATTACCCATTGCCCTGTGTCCTTTTGTAACGATACAGAAATTTCTCCTAGATAATGGATGAAAAGGTTATCAGAGTTGAGAGAAAAGGTGATTTTTAACAGAAATGGGATTAAAGGAAGATTATTCAACATGTGTGTGGAATAATAAACCCCTATCAAAAGATGACAATCTCTGTTCTCCACTGCAAGCTAATGAGCCTGGATTTGCATGATCAGTCTCATCAATCCCTCAGAATGTTCGGAGGCCACTCGTGAGGCAAGTTACCATTTTAAAGAGAGCCATGAAGTCCTCCTTGGGATGGCTGCACGTTACATACCCTGGGAGCAGGGTCTGACAAAGCAGGGGAGCGATGTACCTGCTGAGGCAGGTGTAGCACAGCCTAACAACCTGCCAGGCTCTGTGCTCGACTTGGAGATAATGCACATCTCCTTGACACACTGCTGCACCGTAGATGAAAACCCACCGTGGTGTGCATTCCCCTTCTGCATCAGTTGTAGCCAGAGCGATTCCTGAGTGATGTAAATGATTTGTGACTATGCCTTCTAGCTGAGTTTTGAACAGAACAATAAAGCTTTGTTTGCAGGGGCTTTATTTTTAAAGAAAAGGGCTAGATAATCGCAAGGAAAGCTACTTATGAAGACAATCCGCCATCTCTAATAGTTTTCAAAGGCTTTGTGGAGGAACAATTTGCAAGTAAAGGGCAGCTGGATTTTGGTTGTTCAGCAGTAGATTAATATGCTTGAAAGTATAAAACAAAGCCACTCCTGGCAAAAAACATCCCATAAACAAAACAAAGCAACTGAAAACCTGCAAAAACTGTTTTAACACTAAAGGACTTACTTGTCATGGGAGTAAAATTCTCATTACTCACCAAAGGCCGGGGAAAGCCCCTCTCACTTTGATGATCTTTGGACAAGCACAAATGCTGCAGTTTTGAACACAGGGAGGGATTGCACTGAATTCACCTACCTCAGCCGGAAGCAATGTGTAAGAGTAAAACCTCTTCATCTTTGTGACGAGATCATCATTAGAGAAAGTGACGTATTCCACAAACTTCCTGTTCAGGAGAAACCAGTCTGACCCTCCATCGACTGCAATTCCTTCTGGGATCCTCCTGTCCCCTAGGCGCCACATGTGGGTATCACATTCCAGGAAAAGTCGATCCAGTCCTTGCTTCCTGATAAATCTGAGGGATACAAAAGCAGTCATTGAAAGATAATTTGTATTTTGTTTTCACCACTAACTCTTAGAAATAAAGAAGCTACTTTCTCAAACGAAAAAGGTCACTCTTACATTTCTTTTCTACTCAAATAGAGGTTTAATAAATGATTGATCAGTTATATATTCAGTTATAGAGGCAATGATCAACAGATTGCTTTTCAACATCCTTTACACCTTCTGCTGTCCTAAAGACAGAACCATGCAAGTTACAGAGCTGTATGGCATGAAACCCCATAATGTTCATTAACTCTTAACAAACTGCTGCAGAACCACCAGAAGATGAACAGGAGCTGAACACAAGCTGGGTGATAGGCTTCTGCCTCTAAGTAAATGCACAGGTTTTGAAAACCCGCCAATTGTACGTAAAGGTAAAATGACCAATTTTTCTCCTATGTTATTATTACTTGACTTTTTTTTTTTATTGAGGTGTCGTTAATTAGGAAGAGATTCAATTGCATTGCTTTCTGCTGTAGAGTGAGTATGTTATGTTTCCTCCATTTTCAAGTCTATGGGAACATAGCCATGAATAAGAGGAGCAACTGGCGAGCTGTAAAGTTATGGAAATGAATTATCCAAGACCAATAAGAAAAAAACCCAGAAGAGTTGGAAAATCAATCTGTCTTTGAAAACACTTTGTACTGGATGCCCACACATGTTTTGAGACTGTCTGATCCAGGTTTCTATTTGTGATATTCATTTTCAGAATTGTTTCCCAGAAAGGGAAGCGGGACTGCCATGAATTAGCACATGCCTTTTGCAAGGGGGGCTGAGAACTGTTAACAGGGAGTTGGTGTGCTGAACACATCCCACATGTTCTGAGCAATGCTAGCTAACCAGACCATTATAGTAAGTAACATCCACAAGAGCACAGGTCTCACTGCAACAACAGCAGGTAACAAGAGCTACAGCACTTACAGTGAGGAGGACACTGTAAGCCCTGTGTTTCCTTCCTGAACAACAAGAACAGCCTGAAACAACAGAGATACACCAGGGTTCTTAGAGATGTTTTAGGATTAGGAAGTCAAGAAGACAACTCAATGGTTCTCAGACACAAGCCACTGAAGGAAGAGGAAAAGAAATAGAAGTTAAGGAACAACACCAAAGCTGTCTGGCAACATGAGTGTTAACCCCTTAGGCTACCTCCCTGGCTAAAGTTTTGTCCTCTACCAATCAAAAGACTGAGATGCAATGATGAAATGGTGCATATTAATTTTCAAAAGGCCCGTAAATGCCTGCAGGGCCTACGTTCTAGTGATAGCTGTGTTTCTTCTCGCTGTATGAGGAAAGCAGTCCCCTGTTAACACAACAGTGCAGAAAATGCGTAGATGAGAGTGGAGAAATTTTTCTTTCCATGAACAAGTTTCTAATTTCATGTTCCATTATGAAGGATAATAGAAAAGTCTTGCAATTTTAATGCAGTGCTCTGGAATGTAATCTTCAAATTCAATATTTATGCAGTTATCTCCAAATCAAATATTAATGTGCCTGAAAGTTTGGTCATTTATTTGTTTCCCTTAAAACTAAATGCTCATTCAAGTTAATTATTTTAAGAAAATAATAGAATTTTATCGACCATATTTAAATAGGAACTCTATTTGGGTTTTGGTAGTGGGGAAGGGGGGGCTACTGTGAGAAGCTGCTAGAAGCTTTCCCTGTGTCCAATAGAGCCAGTGCCAGGTGGCTACAAGATGGACCTGCTGCTGCTGGCCAAGCCTATCAGCGACCGTGGCAGCACCCCTGTGATAACGCATTTAAAAAGAGGAAAAAGTTGCTGTGCAACAGCAACTGCAGCTGGAGTGAGAGTATGTGAGAGGAACGGTGCTGCAGACCCCAAGGCCAGTGCAGGGGGAGTCCTCCCCTGAGGAGGAAGGAGCAGCAGAGACAACACGTGAGGAACTGACCACAGCCCCCATTCCCTGTCCCTCCGCACCTCTTGGGGGGAGGAGGAAGGAGAGAATTTGGGAGTAAGGTTTAACCCTGAAAGAAGGGAGGGTGGGGGGAAGGTGTTTGTAAGATATGGCTTTATTTCTCATTATCCTACCATGAATTGATCGGAAATAAAGCAAAGTTTTATTTATAAATGACACCAATTTCCCCAAGACAAGTCTGTTTTGCCCATGACAGTAACTGCTGAGTGATCCCTTCCGGTCCTTACTTTCACCCACGAGCCTTTGGCTGTATTTTCTCTCCCCTGTCCAGTCGAGGAGGTGAGTGACACAGTGCCTTTGGTGGGCACCTGGCTAAAGTCCTTTTCCATGGAATAATTTCTTTAACTGCTATCTCCACCAATTTATCACCCTTTACCCTCATTTTCAAACAGAAGTTTCTTTGACTGCAACAGAAACTCCCAAACCAACTCCCCTCACTGACCATTTCAAAAACCCCTCTACTTACAACCCCTCAGCCTGTATTACCTGCTAGGGCTTACAGCTGGCTAATAGCAGAAAGCTCAATTATACAATTTCAGCTTTACTGTCTAAAACTAGCAATAGGAGAGTATGGCCACACTGAATATGAGAAGATCCCAGCAAATCCAGGCTCACAGTTTCATGTTTTCCAAAATAGTGGACAGGCTCTTTTTTGTATACAAAACAGTTCTATGACTTTTTAGAGCTACTAGCTTGGACAAGCAAATCTCAGCATATGAAGTGAAATAAGACAATTCTTAGGAGCATGAGTGTATTCAGTCCTAAAATCCTATACAACATGGTTATTAAAAGAAAACTAAACGTACTTTCTAACCATTCATCCTCCAGCAAGGCAGCGCAGCCCAACTGAAGAGCAGCAACACATTTGGAGACCTGCAAAGAGATGACTCTCTAGCTAATGCTTCTTGAAGCCTTCCTAGAAACATCATACCAGGTTTTAAATACCAGAAACAATAAGTAGGAAGTAGGCATTTCTCAAAAGGCTCACCTTTACTGGCCCTGCTTCAGGCATAGGCATTACATCTAAACAGAATAGCACAGTAGCATAGCAAATGCTTTATTTTTTGTCTATGAAGCAACAGTTCATTCAAGGGGCTTTGAAGACACAGCTTTCTATTGGGCAATTGCTTGCTATCCATTTATGTTCCTTGGGAGCCAGGGGACCAAGAGTGTTTTATATCTGCTAGAAGCTAAATGATCCTGCCTGCAGAGGCAGAGGTTTGCCCTAGCAAGCCCAGGCTGCACTGCTGGCACACAGAGACCTGAAATGCAGCCAAAGAGGAAAGGGTGGATGAAGCTTTTATCTTCCATCCAGACTCTCTTCTAGGATGACTGATGCTCCTAGCCAATCGAGCAATAGAGATTTTGGCACTCAGGGAGGCAAGGACTTACTCTAAGCCTACTGGATATTTACTGAGGGAAAGGTACAATTTGTATGCCATGTAGATCTTTTCAAGAAATCAAAACCACTCAAACACTACAGACATCTTATAAAGATTCTTGATTAGCCATCTAACAGTCTTGCAGCAGCCACCTCTGAAAAGAAAGATAAGAAGATGGAGGGCAAATGCGGATCCTACCCATTTGTTTCTAGTCTCATCCTGTATTTCATTAGTTCCTAGTTACGCCCAATATAATTCCAAACCAGTGCATTTTATAAAGGCACGCCAAGCTTCAGAGAGAGCAATGAAACACAAATAAATAGTGATTTTTCCCTCAAGTCTTTCTCTCTGGGGGTTTACAGGACATCCAACAGGTAACTCCCAAATCAAAGTACAAAAAACGGATTAGTAATAGCATTTCATTTGTCTTAGTCTATATGGAAAAATTCAGGTGCTTCCTGGCAGGTTAAGACCAACACACCCCTGGCAACTGCAAATGTACTTGCCAGGACAGTGACCCGACAGCAAGATACGGTTAGCCAAATACACTGGAGATTGCCATCAGATGAAGACACTTGACCTTTCTCCCGATGCAAGACAAACAACAGAAGGAAAATAATAAGAGACTCAACCAGGAGAAAATAAAATTAAAGACTAGGGCTAAGAAAAAGCACGTCATGTTACATTTATGTGATAGAACACTCCAGCTAAGACATTTCATGCTTACCCTTAAGCAATTTTAACTCTTCCTAAAAAGCCTCCAGTTTTGAGGAGCCTGGATTACACTCGCAAGTAAGCAGCGAGCATAGCGTAACATGAATGTGGATCACCAGCTGAGCTCAGCGATCAGGCAACGTGCGAAAGGTGCCATTTACGCCCTGACTGCGTGGATGCAGCCTCGGGCTTTACACAGTTCCGCATGGTTATTTTTATACTTTATGTTAAAATCCTACTGCCTACAGCACATGATGTGTCATCCATCTCTGAGCATGGATAGTTAACTGTCCAGACAGCTCATGAATGCAACCCAGCTCAGGGAACTCCTCTTACTTTGTAGTGTAGTTAAATATTTATAAATGCATTTCAGATGAGGACTGAATAACACATAAAGCGTTTGTAAGATGTTTAGCACATGCTCCTACAACATGAATATAAACACACAGCTCAAGCCTTCTTGTGATATGTTTTAATGATAAATAAATATTGTTGCACAGTTCATTAATATCAGCAGAATTAACGCAATCAAGGAGCACCTCCTGGATAGTTTTCTGAAAGCGACACTGCCTACCACAGCAACTCTGAGAGACCCCCAGTCCCGAATGCTCACACTTACACAGTACGTAAGACAGGGTTCGCTGGTCCCCATTTTCTGACATCTATGAGTGAGTAAAACTTCTTAAGCATCAGAGGCTATCAGATTGCCAAACATTACTTATCAGCAGCTTTGTCACTAAAAGGTTTTTGACTGGAAGGAAGTTACTTTTTAAGGTGAAAAGGTTTCTTCCTAAATGTTTCCTGTTTCTGGCTTCTTGCCTAGAAAACCTCTTTTCAACATTTCACTGCTGACCAGGTCCACCTACGAGGATCTCATCATCATTACTCACAGTACAAGAACTATGAATAAAAGTGAACAATGTATCAGCAAAGCAATTCAT